CGATGAAAATACTGAAAAGAGTGGCAATTCTGATAATGCAGAAGAAGGAACACCAAGGGTATGATGATATAGTTTTTTATAAGTATACTAAATTCCTTTTAAAAGCCTTTTTGTAAAATTTTAGAGTGATTATGTTTGAAGAATAAATCCAATACTCCAAGTCATTCTACACCAAAGTTCAATCTCTTTTCTCAAGAAAGTCAAGGTAGCGGAAAGGAAAAGAAAACAGTCAACAGAAAGCAGGAAGCAGTAAAAAGAAAGTTGTTAGAGAGAAAAAGCAGGTTAGTGTTCTATTCTTTATAAGGATGTTATGAGATTATTGAATAGATTTGCCAAGTATTTAGAAGCTTATATAAGGCATTGTCATAATATATGTAATGTTTACAATCATTTAAAAATGTTTACAACATTTTAATAAAGTTTTTAATGATTTTTAAAGAAGTTACACTAAGCATGATTATTTTTTTGATCTACAGAAAAAGTGTAAAGAAGGAGACAATGCTGAAGAAAATGTTTCTGAAAGAAAAGAGGTTAGTATGAGATTTTTAAATATTTTATAAGGTTTTTATATGCTTATTAAACTGTGAATATAAGGTTTTTATAAGGCCTAAAGGAGATTTTATAATGTTTACCAAGAGTTTATCAGGTTTTTATATGGTTTTTATCAAGAGTTTATCAGGTTTTATAAAAAATGTTCCATACTTGGATTAAATGGTTTACAAATGTGTTCGTTTGGTTCATTGCAGCAAAAGAAGCGTAAAACAAATGACAATCAAGATGTTGATGATACAACAAAAGCTATAGTTAGTTTGCAATTAAAAATATTACAATAGTTATTACAATTGAAAATCAATAAAATGCTGGATTTGTACTTTATTTTGTTCAGCCACGAAGAAAGAAAAATAAAGCTGATAATGTTGGTGAAGTAAAAAGGAAAAGTGAACGAAACCATGCTCCATCAATTCACACTCAGTGGCCTTACACGGCTGAGAAGAAAAGGCACCCAATTGTTCATCCCTTTGAAAAAGTTGATACAACACGGGTAGAACTATTGGCTAAATGGAAGAGTTCAAGGAAAACAAAGTAAACATCTCTAGCACTTGTAATCAATCAAATTTATTGTATTATAACATATTCTAACCCCAAACAACACTAGATAAGTCATTTAGTGGTTCAATGCAATGTTTCCGAGTTCTTATCCCATTTGGGACCCAAT